ACCAGATGCCCTTATATGAAACCGAATTATAAATATATTAATTCATTTTACAATGTATGGAACCGAAGTAGCAATATATAAGTTGGTTATTACATTATATGATACCAATTCTTCAATATATGGTACCAAAGTAGCCATATATGGAACCAGATGCCCTTATATGAAACTGAATTATAAATATATTAATTCATTTTACAATGTATGGAACCGGAGTAGCAATATATAAGTTGGTTACCACATTATACTATACCATTTCTTCAATATTATGGTACCAAAGTAGCCATATATAGAACCACTGTGTTCTTATATGAAACCGAATTATCAATATATTATTTCATTTTTACAATATATGAAACCATTTTATTAATGTATGGAATCAAAGTAGCAGTATATAAGTTGATGTTACATTCTAAGATAGCAATTTTCATTATATTGAACCAAAATAGCCTATTTTCAAGTCAACAAGTCAAAGGCCGAGGTCCTTGGTTTTTGTTATTTCAAAGCATACACTTTTTCATGAAATCAATCATATTTGGCTGTTTATTTTTAAACTTTGTGAGTAGATTAACCTTGATGTGTCCTACTGGCCATGCTCATTTTTGAGCAAAGGTAGAGCACCATAGGGAACGTGTTACAGTATCGCGTTTTCCGGTTACAGTATAGAATTTTCAAGATGGAGGATTATTTATGAGAAGAGAGGTAGGTGATTTTTATTCCGGTCCAAACTACAAGTAGTTTAGTTTCTAAAGGATATTTTTGTGCTTTGCTTGTAAGGAAATGAATCCAGTATCTAGTCATATATTTCTTCAGACCCTGCACCGCAGATTTATCTCTATATTGTCTCAAAAATGTGCAGTTTGACGTTTTAAAAATTTGAGTCGAGAGACCAACGCATTTTTCTCCCATTCCGACATTATTTAAGGATGCCTAGATAAAGTAAGTCTACAAAACGTTAGGCTTTGTGTTTAGAAACGTTTATAAAAGTAAATGACCAGTTGAACCTATTTTCCTGTTCGTCAAATGCGTTTGAAAAAATAAACAATGTTACAGTATAGAGAGAGGTGAATTTTGCAGGGTTACAGCATAGACCTAGCGACTTTGATCCTATTTCGTTACAGTTTATACCCAGATTTCTGTTACAGATACTTGCCAGATTTGACTCATAGCATAGTTCGTGGATGAAATAACTCATACCTTTCTATTTGATACATTCTTGAAAGATTGTGTTGCTTTTTTTCTTCAGCAGAAAAGTTATAATTTGCTATTTTCCTTACTTTAAGTTTCAGATTGAGACTTTTTGCAGAATAAGTAATGTCCTAAGTAAGGACTGTTTTCACGACAACAACAGTAACTTTTATGAAATTGTATGGAGAGAATGATACCATTACACATTATAATAATGCCAAATAGTAATAAAATAGAGAAAAAAACAGAATACTTAACAGAAAACACGGAAAACATGAAAATGTTGCATTTGTTTTGAACCTGTTCATGGACGGTTGTGATAACTTGCACGCAAGCTACCTTCCACGACTCCTAGCACCGGCTCCAGCAGAATTCACATTAAACATGAACCGGTAAACTTTTAAAAAATTTAACATCTGTGGATATGTTAATATGGCGGTTATCATGGAACCTTCAATGTGACACGTTATTGCCATTCCATGAAAAGCGGGATATATTACCCCCAGGTTAAAAATTGCGTGTCCCCTAAACAAGAATACAATGAGTGAAACTAAATAAAATGAAATTTTGAGAGGGAACCGGAGGTTATTGAGCCTGCATACCACAGATAAGCTGTTAAAAGACACCATTAAAAAGCAGGCAATACCCAAAGGGTGATAAAACAGTATTTAAGTGAGAAATACTGCAACATTAAATTTTATTTTAAGTTGGAATTTCCATCTACAATAAAGTATTTTGTAAGTATTTAAAAAGGGTTTGTTACGTTTGGCTTTCTTGGATTTTAAGTTTCAAAGACACTGAGGTCATATGAAAGCATTCGTGCTTTAGTGTAAAGAAAGGCCCCAGATACCCTTTATGAAACATTTCAGACACGAGCAGGCAGCTGACTAGAATCACCGACCTTCCGTAAATTAGCTTGATAGATTCCCCACATACAAATTAAAGAATCCAAAGTCATGATGGGATTTCAACCAAGATGACCTTATCCCGACTAATTCACTATGATGTATCTCCATCAGACTCACCGGAGAAGATATTGTAACTGTCTGATCTTAATTTATACTCTATAACTTTCAAGATTATTTTCTTTTTCAGAAACATGAAAACTTCTATACAGGATGTCTGAAATAAACAAAAAGACTTTAAATTTAATAATGACAAAATAATCGTAACTTCAACAAAAAGCATTCGAAATGACGCCATGATCATGATTTGATTTGAATGTTTTTGGTTCGAGATGAGAAGGATCTTTAAACATTGCCTTTTTTCAAAATCTATGTTTTGGGTTTTCTTATCCCCGATTGCAACCGAAACCATTTGAACAACTTTGGTAGAAAGTCATGTAAATTTCATCACATTAAGTCAAGTAGTTACTGAGCGGGTGAGATTGCACACACATGTTTACGACAGACGGACGAATAGCCATCGGGCCAATAAGGTCACAGAGATTTAAAAGTCTATGTACTTTTCATACATTTTAGTATATATAGAAAATATCGAAGTCTAAGCTGTAACCGAAATCTGGGTATAAACTGTAACAAAATCGGATCAAAATCGCTAGGTCTATGCTGTTACCCTGCATAAATCACCTCGCTCTATACTGTAACATTGTTTATTTTTTTCGAACAGGAAAAAAGGTTCAACTGGTCATTTACTTTTATAAATGTTTCCTAACGTAAAGGACTAACGTTTTGAAGATTTATTTTTTCTAGGCATGCATAAATTATGTCGAAATTGGGGGAAAATGCGTTGGTCTCTCGATTCAAATTTTCAAATCTGCACATTTATGAGACAATATAGATATAAATCTGAGGTGCAGGGTCTGAATAAATATATGACTAGATACCCGATTCTGTTCCTTACAAGCAAAGCGCAAAAACATCTGTTAGAAACTTAAGTACTTGTAGTATGGACCGGAATAAAAATCACCTACCTGTCCTCTACACAAATAATCCTCCATTTATAAAATTCTATACTGTAATAGGAAAACGCGATACTGTAACACGTTCCCTACGGTGTAGAGGTGGAGATGAACTTATTTTTTAAACAATTATGTTTTTGTTAATGGTCAGTACGACTCAGTAGCTTAAATTATGACTTTGAAACTTTACATATATATATAATGATAAGTTTTGCCTGCCCAGCACATTTTAAGGCCAAAGTGAATGTGACGTTAAATTCAAATACATGTATTCTAACTTAGAAAATGTGCAGTATGCCATCAGTGAAGCACGCTGGTCTTTTGACAGTTCTACAAGGAATATTGGCGCGAAACTGTAATACTGGTGCAAGGATAGAATATAGTTTTAAAAAAAGTCCCGTCAATATAATGACATTTTGGTTCCACGCATTGTTCATTTGGTTCCATATATTGGAGAAGTGGATTCATATACTAGCAACCTATGACAATATATTGAGGAATTGGTGTCATATAATGTAAAAAATATTATTATTATTATTGGAACTTCAGTCCAATACATTGACAAAATGGTTTCATATATTGTAAAAACGATTTAATATATTGATAATTCGGTTTTATATAAGGACATCTGGTTCCATATATTGCTATTTTGGTATCATATATAGAAGAACTGGTATTATATAATGTGATAATCAACTTATGTGTTGCAACTTTGGTTACATACATTGATAAACTGATTTCATATATTGTTAAAATGAATTAATATATTGAAAAATCGGTTTCAAATAAGGACATCTGGTTCTATACATAACTTAATTGGATCCATATATTGAAGATCTGGTATCATATAATGTGATAATCAACTTATATGTTGATACTTTGGTTCAACACATTGATAAAATGGAATCACATATTGTAAAAATGAATTAATATATTGATATTTCGGTTTCATAATGGAACACCTGGTTCCATAAATGGCTACTTTGGTTCCATATCGTGAAAAATTGCTGTCATATAATGTGATAATCAACTGATATATTGCTACTCTGGTTCCATACATTGATTAAATGGTTTCATATATTGTAAAAAAGAATTAATATATTGATAATTCAGTTCCATATAAGGACATCTGGTTCAATACATGGTTACTTTAGTACCATATATCGAAGAATGGGTACCATATAATGTGAAATCAACTTATATGTTGATACTTTGGTTTCATACATTGACGACTTGATTTTATATATGGAAAAATGTATTAATATATTCATAATTTGGATTCATTTAAGGATATCTGGTTCCATATATGGCTACTTTGGTACCATATATTGAAGAATTGGTATCATATATTGATAAAATCAACTTATATATAGCTACCTTAGTTTCATACACTAGCGGAATGGTTTCATATATTGTATTTTGGATTTATATAATGGTTCCGGTTTAATAATAAAGGTGTTTTCAATTCATATATTGTCGAAGTGAACTTATATGTTATCCACATGGTTACATTAATTGAAAAAGAACAATATAAGACAGTCATGGCTTTCAATAGTAAATGAATACAGTATGCGCTGTTATTGTGTTTGGCACTTGGCAGATATGTCAGCTTTGATATATATGCAAATCTTGTCATTTACTTATTATTATGTCCAGCAACTCTGTCATTTACCTGTCTTATCTTGTCATAAATTACCTGATAAGTTAATTAATTTACTTTTTTGTCATCTTCTTTTTCTCAATACCTCATTTATGTACGTTACTTTTTTCATTGACTAATATATACATGCGCTTTTCTTTTCATTTACTTTATTTGTAAGCTAATCTTGCCATTAGTTGATATTCATGTATACCTATATCGTTTTATTGCCTACATGTTACATTATCATTTCAGGTCAGAGACATATGATAGAGGACTTTGCTTTAACTGATATTATACCTTCCTCTAGCTTTTATATTACGTATGACGGATCGCTTACACAGCCTAGCTGTCAGGAAACAGTCACGTGGATTATTATTAACAAACCTTTACGCATAACTGATCATCAGGTATATGATGTGCTTGTTTTCTTTTAAATTTTGTTCATTCACACATCATATTTGAAATTTCATCGCTTGAATTAAAGTTTTCTTTTTCAAAAAGAAGACTTTCATACCATTTTCCTCTATACGCGCATGCAAAACAGTGTGGATAATGACGTTATTAACGAAATACTATTTAAACATATTTTTAACATTTTTAACAATACAAACGCCGTTTCCCTAAATATAGAGCATTTTAGAGGTTAATTTAAGAAAGTTATATAATTTTGTCAATTAAAATTCTTAAATATATCGCGTGATCGCTGCTTGTACGTAAAGAAACGCTCTTAATTTCTTTTTTGGGTATTTAAAGTGTTCAGTGTTTTCCTAGACCGTCCATTGGAAAGTGCAGATAGAGCAACATGAGATTAAAAAAATTGAAATGAATATATATCACTTTTGCTCGTATCTCCAAATACAAAAATAAACAGAAACATTTCATGCCAAACCAAGGAAACAAATGAAGCAAAAGAAAAAACATTATCAAATTATTTATATATATATATATATGAGAATGTTGAGCTTGTTTCAATGTGTAGTGCAGTTTGTGACTGTATATAAAGCTGTTCTGAAACCATCATTTTTGTGATGGTGGATGAGCAGTGGCTATGCTTTCATGACTGTTCTGCTAGGCGCTGTGCCGTAATTGGACTGGCATATCGATGTGGTGGTATGTGTGTATATATTCTCTCATTTCTATCAATTTATCTGCACACTTGTATCTTAAGTGATCCCACGCAGGGGAAAGTATAACTGTATTGAATTTAATTATCTCCCTTTATATATACTTTATCTGTCTAAATTCATTGTATCCTACGGATCTACTTGATCTTACGTGATCCAGTTGACTTTCGGAAATAGATATATAGTTCTCTGGTCCCAATCAGTGAAGAAGACAATAAAATGTCATCGTTGATTTGTGAGATATGTTAACAGAGAACAAACTCTATATATGAGAATGTTGAGCTTGTTTCAATGTGTAGTGCAGTTTGTGACTGTATATAAAGCTGTTCTGAAACCATCATTTTTGTGATGGTGGATGAGCAGTGGCTATGCTTTCATGACTGTTCTGCTAGGCGCTGTGCCGTAATTGGACTGGCATATCGATGTGGTGGTATGTGTGTATATATTCTCTCATTTCTATATATATATATATATATATATATATATATATATATATATATTGTTCATCGATTAGCTTTATATCATGCATAATACTATTTTACAAAATAATAAAAAATGTATTAATTGGCACAAAACAGTATAATGTACATGTATATAGTAAATGAAAATTTTACTATAATGTTAAATTCATATAAACACATAAAACATATTACAGAGTGTGTGTTCTAAATGTAATGTGTTTGAAAATCTAACGTAATTAGCCTTTGCTACCATTAGATTGTTGATAATTATCCTTATTAACAAGCTGTCGAATTTATAATCATTTCAAAGGTATACTATACTCATATAGTTCTTTTAGAAAATTATATATATTGTAAGTTGTGAATTATCATTACAGATAGCAGCGTTACGAGATTTGAATAAATGGAGTCAAAATGAGCATGATAAAGGACCATTAGTAATTAATAACTTCCGACCACCACAGTCTTTAAATAGGCGTCCTGTAAGAACTAATATAAGTCCACATGTTGAGGTAGGTTTACTATGTTATGTTAATATTGAAGCGATCTTCTGCTTTTAGTTCTTTAAGTATATTGTATACAATATACCAGTAATTATATGAAATGACACAGTACTTTGATCTCTTAGGCTAATGGTATTCCTGTCAAATGACGTAATATAAACATTTTTTGAAAACATCAAAAAATATTTATCGCGCTTACAGTACTTAATAAAATTACACACTTTTCAGCCATTTCTTTATGTTTTATTTGTTGATATTGACACATTATTGTAAATCGTACAGAATTTATTTCATGTTTTCCCTTTTTTAAATTTTGAATCGAACCATTAATCTACGGGTCTATTTTGTACATTGTTATAAAGTGTCCTTTTAGTTTTATCATAATCTTAACATAATATGTTTGTGTTTAGAGTAAAGACTGTGCAGTCAAGATCACAAAATCGTACAGAGGTGAATATTTATATACATTATTAACTTTTAATAAAAAGTGTCTTTGATCTTTTTTTTTAATTGACAGCTTAATCGTTGAAATTTTCAAACATCAAATTCGCACAATACTACATCGCATAAATGTTGACCTATAACAATAACCATTACCTATCACAATAATATTGTCTTGCTGCCTTATGTCATTTATATTCAGATAATCATGTCTAACGAAAAAACAATCGTATTTTTAAAATTGTTATGTGTTACCGAACTGCACTCGTTTTATTTTCTAGTGAATAGTCGTCTGATAGGGTTATGACAAAGTGTTGAGCTAGAGAAGTGCCTCCAAGTATCTGCTTATAATACATTCGTTTAGGTTTGTAGCATAAAACAGTACCATTTGTTAGTCAATGTTATAAAAGATTATATAATGAATAGCAACAGGCTGACATATATATCATTTCATGCAAAAATTATATATATCTTATTTGAAGATTAAGACTTTTATAAGCATTGTAACATGATAAACAAACAACATGATATTTAAACTTTACTACATCTGACATTAAACAGATATTATATTGTTTTTTAAATAATTTAGATAATTTCATTACTAATCGACAAGTTTTTAGGTTATTTTTTTCATATTTTATTAACAATATGCGATGTCAGTAATAGTAAAAAATGTATTTTAAATGCAATGAAGCAAATCATAGGTAAAACAAAATTACAAATTTACTTTCCAGGATATTCGTATGGTGCTTAGATATCTAAAACAAAACTAGTTCAACTGCTGTATGTACAAACTGTGTATCAGTATTAATTTTGTTTATTGTCAACATAAGATACGGATGTGAGGCGGAAGTTAAAATTGTCAAAATCACGTGTCTGGAACGTTAAAGAATGTCTAGAAATTGCCTTAGATATGAAACCATTGGTAGACAGGAAACGAAAGAACTGGAATATAATAAGTGTATTTTTAATAGTGCTATGCAATGTGAAATAAAGCGCTTTGTTTGTACACGTGTACATAAAAAGTACGTTAGCCTTAATATGTATCATATACAATTTAGCTCTTTATGGTGATTTACATATATATATATATATTGTATAAGAATATTCATTTTTAATAAAATGGCAGACAACAAATACTGAAACGGCATAGACAAATGATGCACTACTTAATTATAAATGATAAATACAAAAATTGGAAAGAAAATAGCGATAATAATACCAGTTATGATTATTTTGAATGGGACATAGCTGTTAACATTTATCATTCTTTGAAATAACCTTTATTTATGAATTAACGTATTAACCCATTTACATTTCAGTACAGTTTATAAATAATTATATTTAAATCATCAATTGTCCCACAATTATATAAATTTGTATTCTTTTAAAGAAAACAACAAAAATTTAATTCAGGACAAATGTTATTCAGGTCAGTTTATTCTGAAATATATACGATTGCCATTGTACTTAAGCGCTCAATTTAATTATTCATGCATTTGCAACTGTTATAGTTCAATGTTGTTTTTTATATTCGAATGGGATCGTTTAAGTGCCTCCATTTAGCCATCATGGTGGATCATAATATAGAAGTCGCCTGACTTTAATTCAATTTGATTAGATGTTTTAACACAACTGCAATTGTTTTGTTCACAAAAATTAATAAAGCAAAAACTTTTCTCGTTATACTTGGCGGCGAGAAGGTATCTTTTCATCTATTGAAAAACATGGGTTTTTTATTAGACAAAAATTAGTCAGGAGAAAAAAAATTCAAGCATTTTGAGAAAAGAGACAAAATGACAAAAATGGTATTGTCTTTATGAAAACAATAAATTGATTTGTGTTAAAATATATTATCAAATCGTCGACTTACACTTCACGATCGCACTTAACGGAGGCCATTTTACGTTTCCGTAAATTCGAATTAGTGTTAGTTCTATTTTTTGCTGCAATTGTATAAACATGATTTATAATCTAGTTAATGATGTTGTAGTCTTTTGAGTAGGTACATGTTTATTTTATATATAACACATGATTATGTTTATTAGCAAATGAATGAGAAGTCAATTTCACAACATTCAATAAAAAAATTTGACTTCTGTTATATTCAATTTTGTCAATATTCTATTAAGTCTTTCTTTTTTAAATCATTATACGTTTTGTAAGTAGAATCGCTGTTTGAAATGTGCCATACACGTGTACAAATAATAATTAAAGGTATATGTACATTGTATCTGTCAACGTCTTTGTTTTTCAATCAAACATTATTTATTTATTTAGTTTCATAGTGATTAAAATAAGCTAAAGCGTTATTTCCAAATGATATTGATAATGAAAATGATATTATTAAATAAATATATCATTTCTGCAGATCACATTTTCAAAGGCACAAGGACTACGAGACATAACGAAAAAAAAAACTGGTAGAAATATTTCAACTTCATAAATTGAAGTTTCACATTTTCCCCATAATTGTTACATCAATATTCGCATCGTGAATTCAAAAACTGAACTTACTGAATTTTTATTACAATATTACGAATGAGCCTTATGTTTCTACTGTTTCAAGTACATGACCTCAGCTCCGTATGTTATTCGTTGTTTTACTTCATTTACAAACTGTGTTTGCGTTTTAAGAAGGAATGATATTTTAATTTTAAAAAGTTTCTTGCATACCTGTCTTTTGCAGCAATTCTGAAGCAAAGGGATGTCGTTTGCAAGCATGATCAATTCTCATTCATTTATTGATGTAAAAACAAGTCCAAAAAATCATTAAAATGTCATATTCTGGACTGCAGTACTCTATGGTGGCTGATTTCGTACACTTTGTGCGTTGCGTTGTCTATAATGACATCACAACCTATATCGTTATCGCCTTTTCGTCTTGTCGCTAGTGAAACGTGCCTTTTGGCGCGTTGTCGCACTATCTTCTTGTCGTCCTGTCGCTAGCGAAACAGCGCGTTGTCGTGAGGCACGTTGCCGCGATGTCGCCCTGTCGCTTGATTTATAAGCCGAGCGACAATGTGACATCGCGACAACACGCCAAATGCCAATGCGCCATTTGGCGTGCATCGTTAGCGACAAGACGAAAGACCGACAACGCTCCGTTTGGCACTTTGTCATTCTGTCGCTAGCAACAACACGATGCACAAAAGCGTTCCATATCAGCCACCATAGTCATCGGATGATTCGTCGTATGTATCTAAATATAGGCCTATATAAATGTTTATGTTATTACGTTATAAAACAAATTCCATTTAGTTAATTATTATGTTTTTTTTTAATATTGAAACTTATCATATACATGCTATACATACACACACAGACATAGAATTTCCAATCTAAACATTAAAATATATTTCAAAGAACACATGACACAAAATATTTCCATGATTCATGAATAACCATGGCATAAACTTTGATGACGTTTGAGTTCTTTAATTAAAAAAATCAAAATCTGCGTAGAAAACAAAACTATGTTTTTAACATTTGTTTAAGCTAAATATGTGTTAGCATGCATTTCAATAATTTACTAAACGAGTGTGATGTTTCATTACTTAGATCCACTTTGTGACTTAACTTAAACTATATTTTGCTTTTAACAGTTAAGTTGGTTTATACAGAATTTATTTTAGTTCGATTCTGTAGGAAGCTATAAGCTTATAGACACACTTTCGAACCAACCAGTACTGAGCAATGAGTGTAAAGTTGCTTGCTCAAGGAAACAACGACTTGCCCCTGACGGGGTTTGAACCCATGCGGCTAGCGACCATTAGATTACAAGTCCTACGCGTTTAACCACTCGGTCATGCCGCCACGACGAAACGGTTTAGTTGTCAAGTTTTTCAGCATCTCAATCAAACGGACTTTTCTTACGATTAATCCGGCTGGCGACCATTCCAGAAATGCACTGTCCCTCATAATTTCTCTATTAATGTTTGGTTTCCCATCACACGTGTTAAAGACTAATATTTTGTGTTTGATGTACAAAATCATTGATTTTTATTGAAGAAATTATAAAGAGATACAGATTTAGATAAAGCAATCTTTCTTTATCTTCCCTTTTTTGTCCTGTCTTTCAAGTTTTCCAACATTTTTTTTCAGTTGTTTTGCTTTTCTGGGATTACTCCTCGAAAATAAAACTATTAAATTCCCTTTCATTTTCTCCTAATGTTTCTGTTATTGGACGTAAATTATAATCAATTTATTTGTTTTCAATTACATTTAGATTTAATTAACTTATTTTTATAACAAATTTGTTTAATACACTCTTTTACACGCAATGGTTACACTTTTGCGATCATTGAGTGTTGTTATGCATTAAAACCGATCGGTCAACTTTTGAAGGCTCCCTCACGACAGATAAGGTTGAGTAAACAATTGAAACCACTGCGCATTGTGAGTTACTTACCGCGTTACTTGAGGTGACATTTCGTGAGTTTAAGTCGAGACTGAATACAAATGGAATCATATCAGGCGCAAGTTATTTGTGTGATTTATTAATAAAAGAGAATACATGTTTAGATATTTTAGGCACTGGTTGTACAGAAAAAAAAACTTCATTTTTAGATAGTATCAATAACAATTATATAAGTTTCTCTGTGTCGGACCCTGACCTTGACAAGATGTCATCTATTAAAAGGGTTAAAAAGGAGGTCTTACAATGTTATAGCATAAAAATGGAATCCATATAACACATCATTAGATATTGTTTCAAAACACTTTATTGGTATTTCAATTATGATAAAACGGGAAACATACATTTTATTTCTTAAGATTCATCTGCCATGATCTGCGGAATGCATGTACACAGACAAGGGCACATAAGTAGTAATGAGGGATTGTAATACAGAATTATGTCAAACACAATTCCACAAAGCCTTGAAGTGTGCTTAACGGTACGATATACAGCGATCCTCAAAAGATAACACTGACACTTATTTTAATGAGCTATACTCACCTGACGAAAACTCAATCTTTAATAAAAGCTATTTGTCAAGGGTCGAAAATGAAGTTATCGATATAAAACAGCTTTGCGAAAAGTCGAATGACACTTCTGTAAAGCAGGTGGAATGATTCAGTTCATTATGAAAACATAATGCACGGCGATTCACTACTTATTAACATAATTGCAAAATTGTTCAATAGCATTATACACCAATGGAAATGAAAAAGAGTATAATTTTTACCTTTTACAGGGTTTGGGGTAAGAAGAAATCACACCCATATAATTACCGGGCAATCTTTGTATCCTCGGTGATATCTAAACTGTTTGAAAAGCTTATATTAGAACTTCTTGAAAAAGATGGAAAGGTAAACTTAAATGCATCACATTGGGTTTTCAAAAACATGTAAGTTGTATAATGACATATTTTATGCTAAGAGAATGTGTATTTTATCTCAAAACCATTATCCAGTCTACGTTTGCTGCCGAACAAGCATTCGACCGCAACTGTGTACCATAGCTGCTGGTTAATTTGTTCAAAATGCCTATTGATTTAAAATAATTTTGTCATTTTTTGATATCTGTTATAGCTGCGTAATTACAAAATAGAATGTAAGACTGGTCTCCGTCTGTGATTTGCAAAGAATGCCAGTCATAGGCCCAATAATGTGGTCTTGTTTCTGCTTTCTTTTATACTAGCCATATTTACGATGGTGAGAGACAAAGATAGTAGTCAAAATAGTCAATATATGTCTCGAAGTCTGATCTATGTTTTGAAGTTAAGATCTTTGTACTTTCATTATAAGAGGAATTATGACGGTCCTTAAGCATACTGATGTTATATGCATAACTGCTTATAAACTGGACGAATATCAGACACATAATGTCTTTCAATGAGAATGCTTAACTCGAACGACACAGATGTATCGAACTCGAAACTATTAAGTCAAGACTTCTTCGCTACCTAGGAATAAGACAATTGAGTTGACATAAACATACAACGAGACAGGAGATATAGCTACTTGTCATTTGAGAGGAGAGGGTGATACTATTATCTTCTGTCGAAATAATATACGACAGTGGGACAAGTCACTCTCTATATCACATGTAATAGTCTGTGAGTATAATCTCTTTGCGAAGCACAAGCAATCACTTTTCTATGAATGTATTCTAAAGAACTGAAATGATACAATAAGATATAGGTCTCCATCCTTTACATACTAAATATTGAGGCGATGTCAGTTAGAGCACATAGCTAAGACATTTACCAGCATGAATGCAGAATAGGAATGCAGATCATTACATAATAGGGTTGCGGTAGAGACATTGCTCGAATTGATTGAGTTTTATTATGTTACACATGCTGCAGACTATCAACAGTACAAATGAATTCAAATGATGCTATTTGAGAGTTACTTATATTCTACTCGAATATTCGAGAATATACAGTCATTGAACACGAGAATTGCATCAAAGATATGTATAATCGCGTACATATATGCACGAAATATTCATCCGATAACGCTCACACATCAATTAGGTAGGTATATCATGAATTTATCGCTTTGTGACGTAAATAGAACTTTAACTTTTCACTTGTTATTGTTGTTATAATTTTTCATGCTAAAATGTTGACTACAACTTTACTTTGTCATTGTTTATTGAGTTACGAACTATAGGTTGAGAGTTTATGTTCACTCATTCAGTTGATATATGATGTGAAGATGTAAATATTATACCTGTCTTTATCTATCTAGCAAATCGCTAATAAAATAAATGGACCCGTCAGATTTAAACTTTTTAAACTGCTGATTCTTGGAAAAAGAAGAAAATGTTTTCCTTTCTTTTAAAGTTATCGTCACTCATTTTATATTAAATTATTTCTCCAGAGAAACATTATATAATTAAGTCACATAGGGTTCTCTTGTTTCATTTATTTGTCATTAGCAGTTTTTTTTCCTGGAGAATTGTTTCTCATGTTATGCTATAATTGCATTGTGAGAACAATACGGAAATTGAATAAGGAATCCAATAATGGTCTGATGAGTTCCTTCATGAAGCACACAAGAATGTTATTTGAGAGACAAACTATAAATAGTCCATTATAGTATTATTTTTGAAATATAATTTATCTCGTACTACATACAGAGGACTTAAAGTAAACAAACTAAACATCCTACTAATTACAGGGCATTATAAAACACTAGCCAGTCTTTTTATCGTGGTACTATCTAAGACCTATCTATGTTGATAGACTGTTTATAAAATGTCAAAGGATTTGAGATACT